GGCAGCGGGGACTGGGGCAGCGGCGGCAGTGCTCAGTTTCCAGCAGACGGCGGCTATCTTCCTACTCAGCTTTCCACATAACTGAAAGAAGCCTCTGATTTTCCTTTTACATGACTGACAAAAGTCTCGGATATTCTGTACGCATGATCGATGCTGATCTTCTTTGATGGAGTATGCCTTCACTCTTATGCCTTGAATTTCAATTTCAATCGATAAAGAGCATTTATTAGGCCATATCAATCAAGAAGAACAAAATAAGAAAGGAAAAAAAGAAAAAAAAAACCCATATAGGGTATTGAGAGTGTGAGGAACCTAAGATTAAATTTATTCTTAGCGAAATAATTATTAAATATATTATAAGAAAATTATAATTTCAAAAATTAAGAAGAAAAAAGAAGCAATACTGACAATCATATATCCACCGTTCCCAAAATGAAAGATTATTTCCTCCAAAAAATGGAAATGATGTTTGAGCCACCGTTAAAATGAGTGAAATGGAACCCGGAGGACAACTGGTAAATGCCAACTCTCGACAACGACCGAGTAGATCAAATGCAATATCTAATATCAAAGTTCGTTAGAAAAAGTAAAATAACAAATATTATATCCATATACATGTATATAGCTATATATAATAAAGTAGCTAGTAAGGAGAAGAAGAATTAATTAGTGTTAAGAGTCCTTACCAAACATTTTCCTACTTATGCAATCTTGGAGGATGTAGAAGCGAGAGTCTCTATCTAGAGACCGCAGTGGAGTCTCAACATATAGGTAGCGTGCCATATCCTCATGAATTGTGCTGCAGGCCAATTGAACTGGGAACTTCCCATTGGAGTCTGCAATGGTAAGCAACTCACGGTTCCTTCCAACTAACTTTTTTGCAATTGATTTCCCAACTCCGAAACGAGCAGCAATGGAGAGAGCCGTGCTCCCAGATCTATCACTTATTTTCAACTCTGCTACCGATGTGGAATTGATTAAGTAATCAACAATTTCCTTCTTCCTTTTATAAACTGAAAAATGAAGGGCTGTGTACCCATTTCCAAATATTCTTGCAGATCTTGCATTCGGATTTTCTCTAAAGAACGTCTTTACTAGCGAAAGGTCCCCATTGGAAATGGCATTAGTTAATGTCTCATATTGAGAATTTACAAGATTTCCAAATGTTTGTGGGGTAAAAGTGCCTGTATGTTCAATGAAAACAACACTCTCAGCAATTCTTCTCTGTATAAAGATTAATATATAGGGAAATTTGCTAACCATCAAATCTGAACCAATACCTTTAAAAACTTAAACCGTACTGCAGTCTCTCCAATAACCGATACGGATAAAGGAAAAATATAAAAAGAAACTGAAACAGATAGGATGGAATAGAATAAAACCTGTTTGCAACTGAGAGACAACTCGAGGTTTATGCATTTTTTCCAATGTATCCCAAACATCTTTAGCAGAATTCTCGTCCTTTATCTGATAAAAAATTTCTTCTCCGCATGAAGCCTTAATGGTAAGCAGGACAAAAGCATTTTCTCTAAGCCACCGGTCATCGCTCATATTTCCTTTTGTAGATTCAACAATATGCCAAAGATTTTGACATATTAAACAGTGCTGCATCAAAATCTTCCACCTTTCGTAGTTATCTCTTGTAAGAACTCCACATAGATTCACAGTTGCCTGTATAGCAACTATTTCCATCTTTGGGCCTATGAAATATTGAAGTAATTTAAAAGATGAGGATCAATTTAAAATGAATTATGAATGCAAGAACCAAATTGAAAGAACTGAAAATGCATAGACCAAATATTAACAAACTGACACCTTGAGGACCGACTTTTGATTAAGTTAAAAAACTTCGTGGACTCGAGCGCATAAAATTGAAATTGTTTGATCAGGTTGACTTTCTTTTGAAAAATTTGATGGCTAACCAATTTAAAATGAATTATTTAATTGGTTGATTATGATTAATCCAGAGACAATTAGGTACTCAATCCCAAATTATGGTAAGTAATCAAAATTAAGCAAAAATGATTAATATCTTTAATTAAATTTCAATAAGTTAAAGTTAAAGGCACAGTAAAAATACCTTTTGTGATTAATTTACACTAACTATATTAATGACATTTATTTTAAGAAAATTAACATGAGGATAACTTTAATTAGTTAATTAATTAAATTAAAATCAAAATTTACACTTTTCAAGCAAATTAAATATAAAAGATATATTAGAAAATGTGAATTTCAATTAGATTGATACAAAATCTTAATTAATGCTAATTGAACCAATTAAAGTGATAAATTAAATTTAACTGAAATTAATTAATAATGATTAACATTATCCAATTATGTTAATTAATATTATTAAATCCAAGAGCATTAATTTTTAAATTCAGAATCTTTATATTAATAAGGTTTTTTTAACTTGTGACTTGTGTGCATATGTGAAGAGTAACTTTTCATAAATAGATATACAAGATATAAAAATTAATATTCATTTTATTGTTGGTGTGAAGTAAAAAAATTTAATTAGATAATTAATAAATTAAAAAATAATTTTTATTTTTAATATAATTTATGACAAAAATATATATTTATTACACTACAAATTAAAAAACTCATTAATATTATTAAATTATCTTCCCTATATATATATATATAATATATATATATATATTTTACAGACCCACACTCAAAAACAAACTGTAAACGAACAAGATCCAAAGCATATATGCCGAATCCATTCACAAACAATACTCAAAGATCGAATATTAACAAAATAGTATATGAATACTGAGGTGCAGGAAAAATAGAAAGTTCTTACCTAAAAAATAAATGAGTGATAATATTATCACACTCTTAATTACTACTATCATATTTTTTTTCGCTGATCATTATATTAAAAATATAATATAAAAATATAATAAATAATTATATTAAAATAATATAACATTAAGATATAAGAATAATCTCGTACTTAAACCATAACTACATGATAGTTAAGACATAATAGTGCAGATCAATATCATTTGTTCGAAACCAGCATGTGCATCATACAGATCTGAACTCAAAACAAGCATCAACCACAGACAACTCGAAGATTTTATCACATAAGGGTTGTTTCTTAGGGTCAGTGGTTTCCAGGTACCCCATTTTGGGACGGTCCGGATACCAAACTGCTAGAAACACCCTTATGCTCTCGGATAGGGTGTATAACTTGATCCAAAGCTGGAAAAGAACGAAGAGAAGTACCAGAATCTAGCCGCAGACGCTGCCGGGAATCACCTTCTCCGATTTCGCTCTCTTCTGCCACCCTCATTTTTTTTTGCTATCTGATTGCCCCCTCTCTGTACCTAAAACCTCCTCATAACAGAAACTATTTATAGAAGAATTCCCCAAAACCCTAGAATTTCCTTATCTCTCATCCCCAACGTTCCTTTTCTCTCCCCTTCATCTCCACCTTTGCTTGTAAGGGGACAAAATTGACCACTTGCTTTTCTCCGACCTTTGCTGCTTTTTTGCAGTAGAGGAAAGGACGCGGGCTTTGTCTTCATTCCTGGCGTTCTGAAGTGTGGGAGCCACGGACAAAGAACGGAGCAGGTTTGAAAAACAGGATATGGTAAAAGGAGATCTTCTGTACGCAAGGCTGAAAAAATGGTCTTAGATCTTCTCTCAGCAATGATCGATGCTCATCTTCTTTGATGACGAATGCCTTCAGTCTTATGCCTTTGAATTAAAATTTCAATAGATAAGGAGAGCATTTAATAGATTAAATCAATCAAGAAAAACAAACCGAAAATGAAAGAAGAGAGCGAGATAAAAAAAAAAAAACCCAAATGGTTAAACACTCAATTTAGTTCTCAATTTTTCTTTTCTGTTTTTTATCTGATAAGTACTAATGTAACTAATTTTTTTTATTAAGTAATTGATTATTTTACATTTTTAAATATTCGGTTGAAAATTCATAAGGTAAATGATGATTATGTGAATTTTTATTTTAATTTTAAATATTAAAAAAACTATTTTAACTTTAAATTTTATTTTTTTTATATTTAAAAGAATTTTTTAATTCATACCCTTAAACTTCATTAAATATAATGTTTTTAATTAATTTTAAATAAATTTTTATGTTAAATCTAATTAAAATAAAATATAATATTTATACTCAAAATCGATAAAAAATATAAATTTAATATAAAAATTTATACAAAATTAATTATAAATTTTATAATTAATAAAGTTTAACTTGTACCTTTATAGGATAAATTAAACAAATTTATATTTAAAAATTAAAATAATTAGTTATCTATTTAATCAGTTCTATCTACCATAAGTAATTCTTAATTTACGAAAAAAATCAATTAGTTTTCATTGAATTTATTTAATTAAATTTAATCATATAATTTAATTAAATTTAATCATATAATAAACTAAATTTAAACAAAATTAAAAAAAAATAAAATGATTTTATGGTTCTTTTTTCCTACATAGATCTCTCATCACTCACTCTTCTGTTCCCTTCTCTCAAACTACCTTTTTATCTCTCTCATCATTTATTATTGGCAAAATTATATGCTAAGCCCTTGAATTAATTTTAAATTTATTATTGAACCCCAACTTTAATTGATACATATAAGCTTTTGAACTCACTATTTGAGCAATTTAACTTTATTTTTACAACTATTATTATGATAATTAAAGAATTAAGAGTTAAATTATTTAGATAATAGAGTTTAAGAATTTATATGCATCAATTAAAATTTGGGGTTCAATAACAAATTTGGAGTTAATTGAAGACCTAACATTTAGTTTTGCCCTTACTACTTGCCCATTTCTTTTACATCAAATTTCACATTGTAATTTCACGTGCTGTTTGTTTTGGGAGCATTGTGGTCTTTTCATCCTAAACCCCCCATCTCTCAGTATTTAAAATCAACTTTTTACCCTTCAATTTCCTTTTGTAACTTCCCCCCTGCATTTGAGGGGCAAAATGGTTATTTAGTTATTAAACCGTTCTCTCTTCTTTTCTTTAGCTGGCATTTAGGGGTTGCGTTTAGGGATGTCAATGGGACCCCGCGGGGCCGGAGAGTCCCTCCCCGTCTCCGTCCCTGTGAATGGCGGAGATGGAGATCCCCTCGAAGATTTTTAACGAGAGGCAAATTTTGCCCCCCATTCCCGTTCCCAGCGAGGATCCCCATTCCCCACCAATTAATATAAAAAAATAAATTTTTTACATATAATTAATTAAAATTCAATTATAATAAATAAAATTTTAAAAATTCAAGTATAATTAATTAAAATTCTTTAAATATAAATTATCCAAACATAAATAAAGATCAATCTAACATAAATAACTAAAAAGGCTAATAATATGTTGGATAAAATTGGATTAAATTTAAATTTTATTGAATTGGATTTAGATTTGAAGGTTAAATTAAATTTAAAATAAAACTAATTTACATATTTTTTTAATTTTTTACGGGGATAGGGATCCCTACGGGGCCCCGTGGGACCGAAAAAATTCCCTGTGAAGAGAAAATACTCTCCGTTCCCATCCCGTGATAAGGAATATTCCTCCCCGCCCCGTTTCCATGGCGAGAATCCCTACGAAGTCCTGTAAAAATCGAGGTAAATTGTCATCCTTAGTTGCGTTTCAGATTTTTCTCTTTTCCGCTTTTCACGGGTCATTGCTTCTTTCTCCTGTTACTCACCCACTCTTTTTTGCTCTCTTTCTTTCTACTCTCCTTTTGTCGCTTTTCTCTCTCCTTTTTTCTACTGCTATGAAAAGAATTTATTAGCTATTATTAGTTATCATTTCATTTGATTTTTGTACTTCGTGGAATTAGTAGACAATTCATTTACCTTTTTTTTTATTGTTATTTTTTAATTTTAATTATGCACTATTTTGAGTACTTTATTTTAAAATTTTTATTAATTAACTTAAATTTCCTAAGAGGCCGCATAGTGGGGTGGAGATTGCCAGTAATAATGTAATCTTTTTAGGCAAAACCTAAGTTAAGCCCCTGAACTAACCCCAGAATCGCTATTAAGCCCTTATACTTTAATTAATTCATATAAACCCTTAAACTCTGGGATCAAAGCAATTAAGCCCTTCCTCTTAAACCAACTTAACTGCCGTTTGGGACTCCGTAGCCTGGCTTTACTGTCATTTGGGACACACCTGCTTGGCTGCTTGGAATATTGCCACATCATGCTTATATGACAAGGGATTTGACATTTAAGTGATTTTTGAGTTATTTGATTATTTAGTTTTTTAATTTAAATAAAGTTTAAATAAAATAAAGTCATACATTTAGATAAAAATACTATTTAAATAAAGTTTTAAATTTAAATTTAATAAATACAATAATAGATATTAAAATTTTTTTATGTGATTTATTATGATTTAATTTTAAATTA